AATTTGAAGTTGCTATCTGTATCTCAATTCATGAGAAATACTAGTAAAAGTAGTTATAGTGAAGATGAGAGAGAGCTTTGTTCAGATTTTCTAGAAATTGCTAAAAATTATCCAGAAAATATGTATGATAATGTACAGATTCCTGAAGAAGTTGAAACCACTTTCATTTTCAACTATAGTGAAATGAATTCACTATACAACATTGCTGGATATCTCATAAATAGCATCATCAAAACTTCCAAAACCTGCCAAAACTGCATCACATGTGTAGGCAATCGAAACCGTTTAAACATGAAATTCACCAGATTTACAACTATAAAATGTTATAAGGTGAATACTCTGTTTTTTTGTCATGAAAATATTTTTTATTTTTTTATTGAAATGGAGAGTACTTTCAGAAAGTACTATGATATTGTTGTCAATCAAAATATTGACCTAAAAAAATTTTACACTGACAAAATGATCAATTATCAAGTTGATATTCCAGATTGCCACAATTTGAAAAAGAAGATTATTTCTCGATACATAGTCTTCAGATTAAAAATTTCGAGTAAGAAAGAAAAACAATTGCAGAATAAATATGCAAGTCGGTCAATGAGACAATGAGAGCTCACATGAAGTAAGAATGCGTTCAGTAAATTAACTCAACATTCCAGAATAAAAATATGTTTCTGTCCCATTTTCAATGTACTTACAGGAGGATATCTCACTTCTTTTCGTTGTAGTAACTTTCCTAGATCATTGATAATAGAGGAGATAATTTTATGACAATCGAAAACTTGTTCCTAACAAGCTTGATAAGTTTGTCATAAAATTATGAGGCATTTGTCAATGTCCGAGGGATATTCGGCGGAAAATTTTTTCGAAGTTGCCTTTATCATAATGTTTGGTTTAATTGGTTGTGTTCAATCATATATGACCACAAATTAATTGATTTCTTTGGATTTCTACTTGAGCAAAATATTGTCAAAGATAGAGATTTGCAGTTTTCGCGAACGTTGGCTCCTCTTTTGTGAAAGTCTCAGTAATCAAAACAAAATTTTCATTGACTGCTTTATTTTTGAGATACAGTGCAAAATTACATGTTACAATTTGGGACCTCCCTTGTATTTCAGCTATATTTCAACTTATAGGAAAAGTAAAAATGTTATCTTAATCAGAAGTGTTGAATATTTTTGAAGAGTGCAAAGTGTCAATGTATTGAATATAAAAAATATACAGGGTATTCCATTATAAAAAACATAACTGGGTTATATCTTCATAATAACCTGGCTACGCCACTGGATTCTACTTGAAAAAAAATGTTAAGAGTCAGTTTTTACTTTTCCAATAAGTTGAAATATAGCTGTTACACAGGGGGAGTTCCAAGATGCAAAAACAAAGCAGGCTATGAAAATTTTGTTTATGGTAAGTACAGTGAGTTCCACAAAAAAATTGCCAATGCTAGCAAAAAAAGGAAATCTTCATCTTTGGAAATAAGATATCCCCATGATATCCCATAAGGGCATTGAAAATGGGACAGCCTGGACATGTAGGTATTTCAGCAATCAATCAGCTTGTCATCCAAAGCAACAACATCAATTATTTCTGTCTGGGTCCTATTTACTTCCATCTTCTGGCATGTGGGTGCACAGCTCTCATCCTCAAGGGTGCATCTGACCTGTTTCCTCAATTTCTCCAAATGTATCTACCATAAGTTATCTTGATTGTTGGCTTGTTATCCCTTTCTTTCCCTGCCTCTTCTTCTAGCTGCTGCTTCAAGGCACTGCCTTCAGACTTCATCTTCCAATGAATGTTGTCACTTAACTACCTGTTCCTACAAAACAGAACTCCAAAATATATTTCATGCACTTCAGGGATTTGAAAATCCCTATTTTCGGGGAAATAGTGGTACTTTAAAACCCTAGGGATTTGAAATGTACTTTAAATACCTAGGGATTTAAAGTAAGGAATATGATATGGATGCAACAAAAGTTTAACATGTTTAGAACAATATAAAACTATAAAAAACAACTCAATTTCTACAAATAGTAACATTCATCAAAATAAAAACGAGCAGATCGGAGTTGGTCGACCAGCTTGTTTTTCTTTTGAAATTAAATTGGACCACTTTGAGATATGGATGATTTTCATGATTTATTAACATTTATGTTCACCCCAATGCAATCAGCCAAGTGAAAAGGGGTAAATTATCATTATTGCAGCTGTTATTTTTATTACCCAAAGTGTTTTGGAAAATTGTAGCCCTTGAAATAGTATACAAACCTCAGGACTAAAGTACTTTTGAATCACTGGACAAATTATAGCCCTCCCGTTGGTCCGGCGATAAACTTTTTGTCTTGGGATTTAAAATATCACTTCAGTCCCTAGGTGTATGATATACTATTATACCTATCAGTAATAGGTAAAACCTTCTGTTAATAAAGGGCTATTGACATGAATATTTTCAGCATAAGCAACATCACTAGTGTCTGCATTCAATTGATATGAACTAAATCAAGGATTATGTATTATGTAGATCAACAAAGTCTATTATTAAGCTATTAATAACCTTCCAACATTATATATTCTCTTAATATTACATCTTGAAGCTGTGGTAGAGACTGGATTCAGAGAATGTTGCAAACCAGTATTCATAGAAAAGAATCTATTGTTCTTCAATCTTTCTCTCTGAATATTTCAACTTGTTAAGAAGAAAGCTATCTACATTTGAGAGCAATGCATCTTTTCATTAAAATAGTATCCAGAGATTACTGCGATTAAATACCCACTTCAATAAATAGTGTTGAAAGTGGAAACAAGAATTGAAAAATGCCAAGTGATTCTCCACTGGAAAATGTTGTAGTAAACAATAAGAATATCTAGATGACACATTCAAGGAATCTTTAACAAACTGCATATTATCATTTCACATTTCATCCATTTGTTGCTTCATTATGGCTTGTTTTGTACTACTCTATTCATATTAAATTCAAATTATCCAGAGTTCAAGGATATGTTTCACTTACATGTATGGGTTCCAAGAATCATATGATTTATACTTGAATATTTGGAGACCTACCTTGGTCAAGTTAAAAATTGAGTGTAAGTTGAATATAAATATATATTATATGAACCCACAATTACCATAATATTTACCTCTCAAACCAAACTGGCCTAAAAAAAATTATTTGATTTAAGGAAAGTAGTTGTTTTCTGTTGAATATAAATACCTAATATTTAATTCAAGTTTCACAGTTCATATTTTGATAGGTAGTAGTTACTTGAACCTATTCAAGACAACTTATAACAGCTAGGTAAGTAGGTAGTCATTTTCTGTTGAATATTCCAAATGACAAAATAGAAACTTGAATATAAATATTTTTATCTGAAAGAGAATGAAAATCTCTCAGAAGATTTTTGATTTTAAATCATCTTTGTGTGTTCAATGGATTCAATTCAATGTTCGTTAAGGCATATAGCCAGTAAAGTAGTAGTTCTCTGTGGAGTATACTGAAGAAGTATCAATACCTTCATCAGATAGAGAATGTGAATTCTCAATGTATTTCTTGATATTTTTCCATTTTTTTCATGTTTATTTCTCTTCAAAATTATATATTATTGTAAATGTTAATAATAGTTTGTGAGATTGCAGATGTGTATGTTCATGGCTATTAAAGTTATTGCTTCAGTATTTCTGTTTATCATTTGAAACTGACCTTATATGGGCAAGTAATTTCTTGATCACTGCATCATTTGAGATATGGGATATCCTAGGTTATCATTTCATCAATGTACTTATTTAAGTTGTGTTCTTCTGGGGACATATTTATAAGATGGATTCATCAAACATCACTTTTTCATCTTTCATCTTCTCATTTGAACTGGTTCTCAAGATAAATTCTCAAGTGATAGGGAGATGCTTTGAGTAGGTACCTGAAATGTTGCATGTGGATTCGTTGGTGTATAATTGGGGATATTTAAGCAGGATAATTAACCCTGGATATTTCAATAGAATCATAAATTCCTGGTGATACTAGGTATACTTTGATGCTGCTTACCTTGCATAGCTTTGCTTTCATCTCCATTTTCTTTCAAGAACATCGTGATTTGTACTATTTTAGAGAATCTTTTTGGCCCAGCCATTATTACATATAATATTTACAATAGACATAGATTCATAGATTAAGCCAATGAAACTCTGATAAAAACCCAAACGAAAATTGGAAATTGAAACACGTGTATTGTGTAGTTTGTTTATGTTTCATTTGACTTTGACGTTAATTGACATCTACGTCAATGACCGGAAATGGCAGCCATTTGCATGGCCATTGTCGTCACTCTATTTATATAGTCACTCTACTGCTCACTGCTGTCAGTGCTGCCAATAGTGCCAATGGTTAATTAAAATTAAATTTACTGATAATTTAATTTTTCGTGTTTGTAGGTTGCTGGAGCAGCTGAGTTTTTTAGTAATGTTATTAATGTTTTTTATTGTGTAAAAATGAATGAATAATGAATTATATCAAGTTATTGAATTTTAAAGTGGGTTTTTTCAACTGCATGGAGCTTCCAATAAATACACACTACACAGTAGTAGAAGTCTAGAAGCACAGTATCTACTAGAAGTCTCCTAAAATAGAAGATGGTTCGAGGTGAGACATTTTTCTAGCATTTCTTTCATTTTACGTGCCTTTTACCATATCGAATTCATTAAAAAAATGGTAAATAGTCTCGACATAACCCTAGTTTTTTCACACATAATGCATACATCTTTTAGGAGATCTTTTATTTCTTACATCATTGGGCATTCATCTTTATTCAATTTGAACTCAATAAAATTTTAAAGGAAGTACCTAATTCCTATTAAAATTTCAATTGTTCACGAATGTTCAGGCATTTTTTTTTGTTAGTTTGATTTGGTTTGATCTATCCTGGCCCACATTTTAGGAAGGTATAAATTGAGGTATTCTGTATTCTGTAGGTAGGTATATTTTTCAATAGTAATAAGAAGACACTACTGTCTCTGTAGGTAGGTATATTTTTTCATCAGTAATAAGAAGACAATCATATTTCATTGTGAGAACTTGGTATTCTATCCATGATTCTAGGTCGTCTGTCATCTGATAGGGTGCTTCTTTTTCTTTGTTTATCTATAATACTTGTAGATTTACTTGGGTCTTCTGGTTCTGGTTCTTCTTTTGTTGGAATTTCCAGTTCTGATGATTCATTAGTGTTTTCTTGAACTGGTTTTGGTTTACATCTGCAATGCTGAAAAATGAAATAATAGTGGTATTCCCAGTCCCCTGTACATCCCTTCATACAAAATTGACCTTTCCTAATTCCCATGCAATCTTGACTAGAGTTGCTTAATGTATTTGAGACACTGCTGTTTTGAAGTTCTCCTATTCTTATACAAAAACGTTTTGTTTGTTGTTTGTGTCTATTTATCTATTTATTTAAAAAACGGATTCAGAACAAGAAAACAGTATTGTAAAACATACATCTATATTTATGTTGAGATTGTAAAGGACACACCACAAATAAAGGTTATCAAGGTCGTTTTGAAGAATTTGAGTAGGATATCTCTAATGATGTGAAACATTTTCAAGTCATCAGCAAAAAATTAGAAGCTTGCACTTTTGAATACATGGGAAATATCATTTAATAATTATTGAATAGTAAGAGTCCACAGTGAGAGCCCTGAGGGACACCTGGTGTAACCAGATCTATAATTATTGATTTCAACTCTTTTTGAGAGCAGAGAGCGACCTGTGAGGAAACTTCCTCTGATAGAATTTTGTGGTCAACTCTGTCAAATGCCTTGGAGAAGTCCTTGTGAAATGTGTCAACTTGTTTGCCCTTCTCCAAGGCATCCAACAGGAAACCCTGGTAGGCTTGCAGATTGCTTACCGTGGATCTACTTGAACAAAAACCATGCTGCTGAGGTATTAAAATGTTTTTGCAAGACCATGTTAATTTATTGTATTGAATGGGATAGGCTAATGTACAGGGTGATTCACCATAAATGTCCCCCCTCTAGCTCACTTATTTTTTTATGGATATGAAAATTTGAAAAATCATCTAAAATGATTTTTCAGAAATTTTTTCCCGTTGCATCAGAAAATACAGGGTGCTCTGAAAAAACGATCTACAGAGTACTACTTGATTTTTCAAATGGAACATCCTGTATTTCATTGTATTTTTAGATTTTCCCTGAAGAGCTGATTTCATCAATTTATCACACTTGGGGTCTATCGGGAATGATTACAGAGATATAAGGTGTTCAAAATCGAGATTTTTCAACTTTAGTATTTTTTTGTGTGGAAATTATTCATTATTGGTCAAAACGGCTTAAATGTCCCTATCTCAACTATTGATTTACTATCTACTCTATCTACTGACATTTAATTGGAACATATACAGTGTGGTTCAAGTTTCAGAATTCTGATCACCCTGTATCTGTTCCAATTATCAAGTCAGTAGATAGTAAATCAAAAGTTAAGATACGGACATAAAAGCCGTTTTGACCGATAATGAATAGTTTCGTCACAGAAAAATCCTAAAGTTGAAAAATCTCGATTTTGAACACCCTATATCTCTGTAATCATTTTCGCTAGACCCCAAGTGTGATACATCGATGAAATCAGGTCTTCAATGAAAAATAGGGTGTTCCATTTAAAACGATCAAATAGTACCCTGTAGATCGTTTGTTCCGAGCACCTTGTATTTTCTGATGTAGCGGAAAAAAACTCTACCGACAATCATTTTAGATGATATTTAAAATTTTGCAATCGGTTCAAAAATAACTGAGCCAGAGAGGAGGGGGAGGGGACATTTATGGTGAATCACCCTGTACAATTACATAATTTCAATGGTACTGGAGGAATACCATCAGGGCCACTGGAATACTTATTGTTCAAACTCTGAATAGATACCCTCAAAAACTTTAATCAAGCTTAGATGGAAATTATTGATGTAAACTAGGTTTTTATTTCGTGGGCAAATTACTATTATTATCAGTATAGACAGTTGAGAAATGGTCAGCAAAAAGATTGACAATGTCTGGGAAATTGATACGGGTGGTATTATTGAGGTGCATAATGTTAGGGTAGGAATTAGATTCCTCTAAATCATTCATATACTTCCAAAAACTGTTGGTCATTTTGAATATTCCTTTCTGTATATTCTAGAAACTGAGGTAACATTGTTCATTCAATGACTTACTCCGAGAGCAAAGCATACACAATTCTTGATAATGATAAGGAGAGTTTGTGTCTTTATAGTTTTTTTCCTGAATAGTTCATTTAGTTCAGGTATGAATCATACTGAGAAATTTGATGTTTTGAATGGTTTTTCCTAGTTCCAGTTGTGTAAAACTGGCTCAGCCAATGCTTTGTGTTTTCGAGAACCTATGACAATTTTACTGTCAACATTTGGTGAACAATCATTCCCGATAGCCCGTTTTATGCAGAATAGGATGACGTTAATTTCTCTCTGTAATATACTTGTACGCTTTTTTTGAATGCGACTGTACATACAAATTGATTGCATTATAAATAATATCATGAAATACATGAACTGCTGACAGGTGTGAAAGCAGCTACAAATGAGATCAACACGGGCAGGCCGCAGAGAGATGATATCAATAAAACTCTTTCAAATTGAATTAGAAATGAAAATATTTCATGATTTAATCTGCTATAATGAATATAAAACACTTCACTTAACAAAATTAGACAGTTGTGTGATTTTGTACCATCCATTCCACCCCTCTCCCACCCTCTCATCAATATAATTCAAATTCCAATTCATAGGACAGAAATTGATTATTGCAATAGTTTTTTCTTGAAACAGATGTCAAATAGCTTCCTGAATACGATCAGATAGTTGTCTGATTTTGAAACATCCACTCCACTCCTCTTTCACCCTCTTATCAATTCAATTTGAATTCCAACTTAGAGCTTTAGGAATAATTTTTGAAAGATTTGTCTCTTGAAACAGAATAGATGTAAAATAGCTTCCTGAATACGATCAGATAATTGTCTGATTTTGTAGCATCCATTCCACCCCTCTTACACTCTCTTATCAATATATTATTTCAAATATTATTATAGGCGGCTCGGTGGTCGAGAGCGTTAAGGCGCTGAGTTCGTATGGGGACTCCCACCGAGACCTAGGTTCGAATCCTAGTTAGGCCATGGATGTTTGTGTTTGTATGTATACCTAACCCCGCACAAGTTTCGACTTATGGGGCGTTTGGTCCCAGTGCTGGGACTAACGAGGTATGCAATAGCGAAAAAAAAAATTCTAACTTAGTCTTGTAATATATTATTTTCTCTGTGCATGTGTTTCTTGAAATTGGCAAAGAGTAGCTAAAATATTCCGAACAGAAACTACTGATAGCAGATATATAAGTATTAGGAATCACAATTTGAATATCCAAATTACACAAAATGTTTTGTATCGGTTTTGTACGAGGTTTTGTTACATTTTTGTGTTCAGAAAAACAAGTAAGTACCTATATGAAGTCCCTTCAAATACTAGTTTGAAATATATTTTTTCTACAAACGTCAAAAAATGACAAGGTTCGCGCATTGATAACAAATTGCGAAGTGACACTTTTTTTCAGTTTCCTACGTTACCATGATTCCTTGCACAAAACAATGCGCGAAGTAAAACAGTGCGCGAAGTACCTACTTCGCGCATTGTTATGTAAAATTTATGAGATATTTATATTTCAACTGTATGGTCCTCAATCGAGCAAACATCCACGAAATCATTCATTTCTGAATGTTCAACTATAACTTTGTTTTATCTCTTGAAGCGCACGAAAGGAAATTCCTATTATGTTTGTGAAACATCGTGTGTACCTAGGGAGGATAGGGGGAGGCCTTCTGAGCCAGTTCAACACTACAAGCATATTTTTGCTTTAGAACTATATTTTTTGACGTTTGTAGAAAAAATATTGTTTGCAACTCGAGCGCGAAATACTTTGGTCATCTCGACTATTTTTCAAATCAGATCTCGATCACCAAAGTAGCATTTCGCGCTCTAGATACAAAAATAACTATTAATCGCATTGTCCATAATGGTTATCTTTTTATTTCAAAAGCTTTTATTTAAATTGCAATGTATGGATGTATGTACATAATATGTATGTTTGTTAGTTCGGTTGAAGTAGATATCTTCAACTGATTGAGCTGAAATTTTGTTTACACGTTCAGTTTGGATGACAATGCACGATAAAGTGTGTGAAGTTATTCTGAATCCAATATGGCGGACCATCCAATATAGCGGAATAGTAATTTTTAATGCACTTCCACAATATGGGTATCAAATGAAAGGTCTCGTTGGGAGTAACTCGAAAAATAATGTGACGTCATTCTAGATTCAATATGGCGGACCATCCAAGATGGCGGAATAGTTATTTTTAATGCACTTCTACAATATGGGTATCAAATGAAAGGGCTCGTTGAGAGTAACTCGAAAAATAATGTGACATCATTCTGAATTCAATATGGCGGACCATCCAAGACGGCGAAATAGTTATTTTTAACGCACTTCTACAATATGGGTATCAAATGAAAGGACTTTTTGAGAGTACCTCGAAAAATAATGTGACGTCATTCTGAATCCATTATGGCAGATCATCTAAGATGGCAAAATAGTTATTTTTAATGCATTTCCACAATATGGGTATCAAATGAAAAGACTTGTTGAGTGTAATTCGAAAAATAATGTGACGTCATTTTTAATACAATATGGTGGGCCATCCAGGACGGCGTGATAGTTATTTTTAATGCACTGTTACAATATGGGTATCAAATGAAAGGGCTTGTTGAGAGTAACTCGAAAAATAATGTGACGTCATTCTAAATCCAATATGGCGGACTATCCAAGATGGTGGAATAGTTATTTTCAATTTACTTTTACAATATGGGTATTAAATGAATGGGCTCGTTGAGAGCAACTCGGAAAATAATGTTTGAAATCATTAGAAGGATAGAAGGTCTCCTTATTGAAGAGCTGGACTGTTCGAAATTAACCGGCAAACGACCTTCCAACAATGATGCGTTGAATGAAATGAACAGACTGAGAAACCTAGCCAGCGATAACTAAAAATTAAAAAATAAATTAAAAGTAAAAAAAACATTTTTAATAAAAAGCTTTTATTTAAACGCTCTAAAAAAATAAAATAAAATGTTCCTTTATAATTTCAACTATCAACTTATAACCTCATTATACACAATTTATATGATCATAAAAGCTTGTCGCGCGATTTACTTGTGTGAATAAACTAGTCCTAATTTAATTTTTTAAAATCTGCTGAGTAAATTTTCGAAATATCAATTCAATTCAATATTGATCATCGCGACAAGCTTTCATATAAATTGCGTACATTGAGGTTATAAGTTGATAGTTGAAATTTTAGAGGAACATTTTATTTTATTCTTTTTTTAGAGCGTTTAAATTAAAGCTTTTTATTAAAAATGTTTTTTTACTTTCAATTTATTATATTGAGTCGGGGTCATCAAAGCTGTAAGGTATGTATACTCGTCTTTATAGGACATGGCATTGTCAGCTCTCTGCTTTGGAATTCTTTGCCAATGGAAGTATTTCCGGAATTACCTTTCGTGCGCTCCAAGAGATAAAAAAAATCGCGACTTGTTCTCAGAAGACAAGTGTAGATCTGAATTTGGATAAGCAGAAAATAAGTATCTACTTTCAATTTTGCTCGTGGGTCTCTTCATTTTCATGACGAATTTACACTCATATCTTGGGAGGTATTTTCTCTGTTCGACATTTCAATAATAATAATAATAATAATTCATGATTGTCTTACCTGATTAGTGCCCTGCGAGGTGCCTCGAGAGGTGCCCCTGTTGATGTCAGAACCGAACTGATCGATCTCTTGAATTTGTTCACCACTTCCATTTGCTTTCCTACAAATAAATAAGTTCGAGTAATTCATAAATGAAAACCCAAAGTCATCTCCACAACTTTTATTTTGAATGATCAAAGATATGTTTCGGGCGTATATAATTCCATCATCAGCCGATTACGAGGTTCATAGTTATGGAGATGAAAAAAGTTGAAATTCAAATAATGTCTGCATCTTGTTAAGATCCATGAACCCAGGGTGTATCAAATACAAACAATTTAAAAAAAGTCATAAATAAAAAAGCCCCACATGTTCGCTTCAAAATAATATATTATAAGTACATATATATTATTATGTTTTCTGGGGTTTTATAAGAGAGCTGTTCCACCAACTAAATTCATCTACCTTGATTCAGACATAATCTCCCTAGGTGGTATCATATAATGTCCTGGTAGTAGTCCTGTCAAAATTCGCAGTTCAGTTTTACTACAATCCAGAATCTATTTGGTTTGATGATTTTGGCAGAAGCTCTTTCTAAAGTGTCATTTCTGATAGGTCAGACTAGAGTCACTGGATGGTATAAGTTAGAGTCACTGGATAGTATTAGTTTGATAAGAGTTCGGACACAGAAATGACAACGGTTAGGGTTTTTGAATGTTTAGATTTATAAAGTTACACACCTTGCATTGTGACAAGAGCACCATAGTCGTCCTGCGCTTTTTCATTCAAATTTTTCTGAATTTGACAATTCATTTTATAAACGTCAGAATTGAAATGAAATTTCATAATCATTATACTTTCAAGATAAAAGCAGCTTTGGAAATCACTTGCTGTGTAATAAATTGTGCCAATTTTGAAACAAATGGATATCATTTATTCGATTTTCCAAATCAAATATCAAGCATTCGCTTATGGAAGGAAAATATGAAACGGCCTGGGTGGAAAATCAATTTGAAGATGAGCGAAATTTGTGAGGTACTCATCGGAATTCACTTCTTATAACAGCATCTGATTAGGATGATTATATATTTTAGACCCATTTTCAAACAGAAGATTTCAAAATCTGTTTGAGAGAATCTGCTGTTCCATCAATTTACAAAGCAGATGATTTCAAGAACAAAATTCCATTATTATCATCACACAAAATACAAAACAAAATAATCATGGAAAAAGGAGAAATAGTCGCAAAATTACATTATGAAATTGAAAATTTGAAAACGAAACAAAGAAAAGCAAGTGAACTACAACGTGATATATTATTGAATGGCGTTTTTGGTGCTGACCGAATTCAAAATTCAACAGTGAAAAGTGAATAGATATTTATGTATCAAGGGAATTATTATAAGGGCCTTAATTACGCTGGAGGTTATCGTTTTGGAGATATTTTCTATATCGGTGGTTCAAGAATCAGAATTCTGATCACCCTGTATCTGTTCCAATTAAATGTTAGTAGATAGTAAATCACAAGTTGAGATAGGGACATGAAAGCCGTTTTGAATAGTTTCGAAACAAAAAAATGCTAAAGTTGAAAAATCTCGATTTTGAACACTTTATATCCCTGAAACCATTACAGCTGGACCCCAAGTGTGATACATTGATGAAATCAGCTCTTCGGGGAGAATCTAAAAATACAATAAAATACATGGTGTTCCATTTGAAATAACAAAGTTGTTGCTTCTTTTCTCTAGAAGCGGCAACGCCGCAGGGCTGAAAATATTTTAGAACGATGTCCCCCTCGAAAATATAGTTGACGTGTTTCAGATTTTTTTTATAATCCGGTTTTGGCGACCTACAGAGCCTCTGTTTCGTTTTCAACGGTCCACTCTGTATATATTCTCTGATATTAAAATGTTGTTACATGCATTTTTTTTCATTTATATAATAGTTGCTCTGCTAGAAGTGTATCACTATGAATTGAAGTGAGTGTTTGTACCCTATATTCATTGTCCATCTACGGCTATGATTGATTTGACAGAAAATATAACCTCTAAAATCGTATCTGACAATCAGGTGCTACTAGGGAAATTTAAAAGACAAAGAGCAGAATATATGTCTTATTCTTTCATTCACTTAAACCATTGTATTATAGAAAATAGAAAAGGACAAAAGTTCAGCTGTGTCCGAACTCTTATCAAACTAATACCATCCAGTGACTCTAGTATAAGTTAGATAAAAGTTTGGACACTGTACTGTACTTCTGTCCTTTTCTATTTTCTATATTACAATGGTTTTAGTGAATAAAAGGATAAGACATATTCTGCTCTTTGTCTTTTCAACTTCCCTAGTAGCATCTGATTTTCAGATACGATTTTAGAGGTTAGATTTTCTGTCAAATCAATCATAGCCGTAGATGGAAAATGGATATAGGGTATAAACGTCCACTTCAATTTATATCCACTTTTCGCAGAACAACAGTTATAAAAAAGTAAAAATACATGTAACAGCATTTTAATATGACAAAACAGACACATATGAATATACTTACAGCTAGTTTCTCATTATTGTATGCAAGAGTGTAAGTACTTGAAAGAGTCTGTTATGTAATGGATGGAACAGCAGATTCTCTGAAACGGTTCTTAAAGTCTTCTGTTTGAAAATGGACCTAAAATATGGTTTCATTCTAACCTCCTATTATAAGAAGTGAAATTTAATGTATGTAGGACCAACCTCTCAAATTTTGCTTGTCTTCAAATTAATTTTCCATCCAGGCCGAGATCCAGGTCGTTTTATACATTCCTTCCATTAGGGAATTGTTGATATTTCCTTTAAAAATTGAATAAATGAAATACATTCTCTTCATAGTGTCCACAATTCATTACACAGCAGGACATTTTCATTTATACTTTTTTCTCAATAGTTTATGAGATTATATTTCAATTCTGACTTTCATAAAAATTGTCAAATTCAAACAATGTTTAATGAAAAGTCCCAGGACGGGACCACTATGGTCCTCTTGTCACAATGCAAAGTTTGTAACAGAATAAATCTAAACATTCTAAAACACTAACAGTTGTCATTTCTGTGTCCAAACTCTTATCTAACTAATACTCTAGGTCAGACCATTAGATGAGTATTTTTTTTCCGTCGCCCAATCCGAAATAATTATCAGTTCAAAATATCAAATAACCACTCAGTGAATTTTAAAAACATCTGATGAACAGTTCAACTTGACCGTTACAGGACTATTGCTTCTTTTGTCCAACGCTGACCTATATTTTTCGAACCGAACTAAATATGGCTAACATTATTTATTGTCCACCAGATCGCGCTACTGGGACGTGAGACGTGAGGTCAGAGTTGGTAGAACTGATGAATATTAGTACATTATACATCAAGGGACAGAAATGCAAGATTTTTCCCAAGGTGCGATTTGTAGCTCGAGGGCGAAGGCTCAAGAAACTATTGATGCTGCTTCTGCAGTGATTCTTAACTTGCTACCAGTGAGATCTAGAAATCTGTATGATGCAGCTTATACTCGCTTCAGAGAAGGGTGTTGCGAAAAGAAAGCGCAGATCTATGCGGAAAATGTAAAGTTGGTATAAACTCCCTAGGGAGAAAATATGGCACATTATCTCCCTTGAGAATAATACGAGACTTCTGCCCGTCTTTTGTTACCAGAGAAACTAACTTCTACTCCCGCCGGCCTAAAAACTTCTTTTCGTGTCATTTGGCTTATTATTCATACGATATCTTCTAGTAACGCCAACTGGTGGGACTAAAAATGATAGCCCTCATTATTTGAATTGAACTTTAACAAATGTCAGCGAGTGGAGCAACTCTATTTCAAAATAAACCACGTTTGACAAAATGTATTGAATTCTGCATATTTGTAGGTATCAGATAGGTGAATCACGATGTTTCACGCGAGGTTTCCCAGTTTGTCGACGTTAAAGGTGTCGGGAGTGAATTCGGATTACAAATTCACTTTCATGCTGTCTATTTTGAGGACAATAATTATGATATAAGTCATGGTGAATGTCAGAAATAATTAAGATTCAAGTAAGTGTTCCAAATTAATCACATCCTTGGAGCATCCGTATTCCGTCCAACATTTTTGAGAAACAACTATCAACACTAATTTTAAAAATAATTTGATACTGTAATAGCACGTTAGGAAGCATGATTTCTATAGTGTTCATAGAAAAAAAATCATGTTCAATTTTGTATTCTTAGATGTTTTCGCTATATGCCACGATTTTCGAATTATTCAAGAATAACTTGTAAAAATGACTTTCAAACGCTCCCCTACTGCTCCGCTCATCCCCTACGGGTCAGGACTTATAGTCAATGAACTCCATGTAAACAACTGGAAGGGATCCTCTGTGAACGACGAGTGAGGCAAAATATTGTTCAGGCAACCCGCAGTGTTTACGGATACCTATCTTACTTTGGCTAATGGAAAGCGCTCGCATTATTTGAAATATTTTCTCGTTTTCTGCTTTTATTTAAGAGTAAACGTGATTAAATATAAATATTCATTTAGGAAAAAGGATAATGTTGCAATCAATTATTATTCAAAACTAATTATGATTTTTTTTTCTCAAAAGTGAAATTTCATCTTTATTCTTACAGGATTAGGAAGTCATGAATAACATTTGAAATTATATATTCTCATACAAGTGTCTAAATATATTGTACAGGGTGAGCGAAGCTCAATGTCTCGGCTCGGTTCTTGAATGGTATTGAGTACCTAAGGTCTATTTTAAGCCTAATTTGTAAGTGTACCTATTTTTCAATAAACATTTCACTATAAGAATTTGAATGAAAAGAATGAAGGTAAATTCAAGTGAAATTTTTGGACGAATTGTTTCATCAAAGGTGAATATCTGTGCGCGCGCCCAGAATGTACACCTTCATTTTTACCTTTCTGGAGAGGGAGAAGCTCCAAAGGCAATTCTGAAAAGACAATGCTATGATGTAGAGCTCTTGAGTTTTTGAAATTTTAACTTTTTTTACTTTTTGTTTCAGAGTTTTCACTTTTCTTTGCGGTAGAATATGTCTTCTCAAATGAAAGAGTTTGCGGGTTTCATCATCAATAAACTGGAATTTGGGAGCTGAACGTTGTAGGCAAATCAATGTCCACAGACGCATCCTGAAATGAATTACTTTAGTTTTTCCAAGAATCTGAACAATTTTCAACTTACTCATGATGGACAATTTCTGTTTGTCTTGCTTGTTTTGAATCCAAAGCCAACACATTATAAATAACCATTGTTTATCAATTCGAAATCACACACTTTTTCAACAACAATCAATTCACACCAACAAATTCAGTCCTTTTGAAGAAACAAAACACGGCAAATTTCGCGATATTTCACATAACAAAAAACAATGAAGTTCTGTCTTCACTTTTTTGCCTGTTCCAGATAAAAATAAAGATCTCAACGAGTGTGAAAGAGACAGGTTACCGTAACACAAGCTATCTTTGTTGCTGTTGCCCCTGACACACTGTGCTATTCGAGAAAACGGTAGTCTCCCTTCCAATTGTTTACATTGAGTTCCATGCTTTTAGTAAGTTGTTCATGGCACTTCCCTTTACCATTGTACGAATATTTGCGACAAGATTTTTTCTCCTATTCGACCTTTTTCGTTGATTGAACCCCCATTCAGACTTCACGTTCCTCGGGTCGTTGAATTAGAGCCTAGCCATAGCACCACTATACGGGAAATATTGCCACGGTGGCAAGACAAGAGCGTATAAAATTATTTTGTAGTTTGTTTTTCCAGAAGCGTGGTGGTCATTAGAGTAGTGAAAAACAACGAATTTGATCATGAAAATGTGAACAAACCGGTATTTATTAAGATATTTCACTATGAATTTACACATTTCACCTTCTTTTCCGCCTGTGTTTTGGATCGCATTAAGAACAATATGTCAAACCAATATGGCTGTTTCCATCCTTCACTTTCCGTCCTTATTGATTCAAAAAGTACCTCTCATTTTGGTCCCATTTTTGTTGAGATATCGTATAGGCGATGCGCTATATACAGGGTGTCCGGAAATTATGCGCAAATAATCAAGGGGGTGATTCTACATGACGAAATAAGAATTTCATTTTATATGTACGTGGGTCCGAAAATGCATAGTTTTCAACATACAGTGTGTTGAAACTTAAAAAAAAGATCGTTTTTTTATAAATATCTCAAATGTCCTTTCACCGTTTTCCTTGAAATTTGGCAATTATATTTTTCGTCATGGGGGGCTGATGTAGCCATAATCCAATCGGAATTATGAAATCCAGTGGCGTCCCGGGGATAACCTACCGAATATTATTGTCAATAAAATGTGCGCCACTAATTTTTTTGAATTCTTCATCTTCATGATCTATTAACCAATCAAAAATACAACGATTAAGCCTCCTGAATTGTTTCGATAATTTGCTTCATTACCATGGAAAAAAATAAATACCAATTTATTGCATAAATTTGTGCCAAACAATTCCTTGAAAAACTGGGGTGAAAATGCGTGAATAATGTCCATAGACATTGGATGAGTATAAAGATTCATTTTCTTCAAATATTCCTTGATACATGTTTGACACACTCTACAGTCTGTATATTGAGAACTATGTATTCTCGGTCCAGGAAGGCGTAGTTTTCGATAATACAAAGTGTGTCAAACATGTATTATGAGATATTTGAAGAAAATTAATCTTCATTCTTATTCTACGTCTATGGACATGGTTCACACATTTTTTCACCCCTGTTTTTGAAACTATGGTTTGCACAAATTTATACAATGAATTGGTATTCATTTTTTTCCACGGAAACGCAGCAAAATAGCAAAACAATTTTGGAGATCAAAATGTTGTATTTTTAGTTAATCATCAGGATATGAAAATGAATGATTCGAAAAAATCAGTGGCGCACATTTTATTCACAATAATATTCGGTGGGGTGTCCCCGGGACGCCACTGGATTTCACAATTACAATTTAATTATGGCTAAATTGGCCCCTCATGACAAAGAATATTATTGCCAAATTTCAAGAAAATCGTTGAAAGGATATTTGAGATATTCATAAAAAACCGATTTTTTTTTAAAAGTTCAACACACTGTATCTTGAAAACTATGCATTTCCGGACCCGAGTATATATGAAATAAATCTCATGTTTTCTCATACGGAATCACCCCCTTGATTTTTTGCTCCTAATTTCCGGACACCCTGTATAGAAATAGTAGATATATGGTAATCACGCAGAGGTCTCCCAGCATATATGACCCATCTACAATATACAATCTACAATATACAATCTACAATATACAATCTACAATATACAATCTACAATATATAATCTACAATATACAATCTACAATATGCAATCTACAATATATACAATCTACAATAACAATCTACAATCTACCTATTCGTGGATCAGTCAGTGGCTTGTGTTCCTATCGCAAAATATGGTTTTAGAAAAAAAAAACAAGTCGTCAAAAAGGACAAAAGCGAATGTTTTTGAATAATTTGTTTCAAAACAATTGTTGAGAATCTATTCTATGCTCACAACAGTGCATTGAGTGTGATGGTTCAACATTCGAACGATTTCTTCGACTTCTCATTTCTATATTGTGCTGTGTTTGTGATCTACAGAAATAAAATATATATTGCTGTTTTCAAAGTGCCTGAAACCAAAGAGTCGCTTCTTACACAATCAGCTTAGCTGTCAGTTTCAAATCTGATAAAGAAAGAGGGGATGCGATGTGGTGGTACCAAGACAGATAGGTTAACGTCATGGGTGGCGGATTGCAACTAACAGAAAATAGTTATTTATTGTAAAAGTCTTTCAGATAGCATTTTATTCGCGCAATAATAATCAAAGGCGAGTGCGAAGCGAAGGTAATTGTGGAAGAAGGTATCTTAATTCTAAATATTTTCGAATTTTGCTCCGATTTGAAATTATGTGAACTTAATTTGGTGGGACAAGCCACTAACTAATTCTTGGCATTCTTATATGGATCTTCCTGTATAGCGGTCAGAGCCAAATAAAAAAAAAGATAATTTCATAAAATAAGTTCCTGTATCCCAAAATGTGAAAAATATAGGGTGTTTCATTTGAAAATTGATATTTGATGTCACTTATATAACTGGTAATAGGAAGTGATACATTGAACAAAATAGAGATGCCATGTAAGAGATATATAACTCGACTGACTGTGTTTTTGGGATGACTGGATCAATGAAAATTGGGCAACTGGAACAGAATAGCAGTGGAATATTTTTTGTTGCAGACATGGGCAAACTAATTACCTAATATCTCGTATCTACCTTCTGAAAGTACTGAAACCAAGAGCCTGCTTTGGAATGTATGAAAAAATTTATTCGGGTATCCTCAGTTAAATGAAGTTTTCAAGTTTTTTACTATTGTACAAGACTTTTATGAAATGAGAGTGTTAGTTCTAGTGGATCTCATCTATAAGTATTATATTTTATCATCATATTTTATCAATATTTTTAAAGTTTCATTGTTATGCATTTGATTAAAATTTTGTGACATTTAGAACATACTTTTTTTTCAACCCCACGATATATCCTGGCAAAACTCCGATCCATTTGAAATTTTAAAAGTAAAGATAACCTCTGGACAACATGACACAGATGCATAAAATTTCTTTCAGAGTTATTACAGGGTATTTCAAATATTGATCGGGAAAATAAAAAGAAATGTTCGTACAAGCTTTTATGTTTTGGATCTTAGTATTTGAGAAATATCATTTCCATTTTCCCATTATTACTGTGTATAACAAATTATTCCGATAATAAAATTTGGTTTCACAACAGGTCTTCATTTTTTTCTCTTGAAAACCAAGCAAGCTACGAAAAAATACATGTAACAAGAAAGTTGTATCACATAAAACTTATAGAAAAACAAAGGAGCACAATTATTTGTACCATAAATATCAATTAGTTAACTTTTTGGAATAAATATGGTGAACCTTACATTTTCATTGTACGAACAAACCTGCTTTGTTCAACGAAAATCAACTGAGGAGTTTTTGAGCTGTGAATACAATTTTTTTTTCGAAAATATTCCAACACCTTTAATCTCGAAAACGAAGCTCCAAAACATGAAAGTTCACATGTACATGTATGGTGTAAGACTACCTATGATGTTCCAGATTTCATTAAGAAGTATTACACATACACGTTTGCGCGACAAAAATAGTTTGAATTTTGACACTACTTGTCAAAGTCGATAAGAAGATTAATCAATATTGACAAGCCTGACTCACCATAGCCTATAACTGGTGCACGACTCGTTTATACACACAACCGTACTATTCTTTAAATTTTTACGAGGTCTATCACCTATCAAATTTTCCCGATTACAATCTGAAACACCCTGTATATACGTGCGATTCCACGAAGAATTTATCATTCATAGTTCGATGTTTTATCGTTCTGTTGAAAAACTTCTGTCCTGTTTTCATATTTATGGTCTTCTGACTCTTATACAGGGTGTTGATTAAGTAGTTTCTTATTGTACAAAATTCAATGGATGAACTTGGACTAATTTGTAGATGACAATTTCTCATGAACATGGTAACACGAGATAGATAGTTACTCTGAGAGTGACTAGCCTTACGAAATTTTATTTTTAAAATTACTTTTCATGGTCAAATAATGAACCCAGACAGGCCCAAAAGTCCGATTTTATCTCAGTCATTCCGTGCAAAAATTGAACAAACTCTCTTAGGCTCCGCCCACTTCGAAGCTCAATGAAGAGAAATGATTAGATTTCAATTCAATTATTAGCTATGTTAATAAATGTTATCAATATATGAGTCCTTTATTCTAATATGAAATCAGAAAGAGGAATAGAAACATATTTGGAGTAAGAATTCAAAGTCTTTACCGGTTTATCTAAATTAAAAGCACCATTTCATGACAGAACTTACCCAGCTTCATAATTTTCATATTTTGGTGCATCGTCGGTACTTGTTCTTTTGTTGATCATTGAGTCCAATTTTTCAAATTCTTTCTTTATCATCAATAGTAAATCGCCAGAGTCTTTCACAAGTTTTGCGTAGTTACTCTCAATTTCGTTAAGGGTGTTGTCATAGTCCTGTTTGGCCTTTATCCTTTGGGCGAGACTTTTATTTATCTAAAATTTTCTTTTGATTAGTTATAGGTGTTTCACGGTGGATGGAAGATGGAACAATAGACGTATCCGGGGAAACGAACGTCTTAAAATATTTTCGACAATGCGGTGTTGCCACTTCTCTTAGAAAGTAGTAGCAACTTTGTTATTTCAAAAAAAACACCCTGTTTTTCATTGCATCTTCAGGTTCTTCCTGAAGAGCTGATTCCATCAATGCATCACACTTAGGGTCTAGGGTGTTCAAAATCGAGATTTTTCAACTTTAGGATTTTTTTGTGTCGAAACTATTCTTTATCGGTCAAACCGGCTCACATGTCCCTATCTCAACTTTTGATTAACTATTTACTGATATTTAATTAAAACAGATGCAGGGATTTTTAATGACTTCGGAGATAAGGGGGGTGACAAGTTTTAGCTGGGACACACTGTATGCCATTTAAAAATTATAATATGACGTCACACTTTTTTGGGACACCCTGTATAATCAAAATTATTTTTCTGGTATGCGCCCTATGAGACAATTGAAGTCTGCAAAATATCAAAATCCTGACTCAACTGATAACTGAACTATAGAAGACGGGAGGTGAGATGCAGGACCCTGTATACTCACAATATGGAATTGATTGATTTGGTAGCGAATCTGTTAATGATACCATACACGAAATTGTAATGAGGTTTATAATTGCAAACTGTGATGAACATAGAATAAACAAATATTAATAAGTATAAAGATAACTCACATGCCTAACAATATCAATAAATTTCAGAGCATCAGGAATGAATTTCTGATCATTAGCTAGATATTCACCCCAATTATTTATTTCTCTTGAATTCTGTACAATGATGTGATGTTCTTCAGTGATTAGTCTCAATTTGAACTTGGAAAGGTATAGATTTCTTGTGATAGGCCCCAAGATGCGTTAATTATTTGGAAATTTACAAACGTAAGTACCCTTTAAATATTCTTACGAGGCATAATTTATAAGTGATCCGTTCCATTTCGGTTTCCAGTTTCTTTCGTTCTTCATACTGTCTTTCGATTATAAAACCCAATTCGTCTCTTTGGTCTCTCAACAGTAGTATGCATTCTACGATTTTCTCATTATTTTCCCTCAGTTCCTGACCAATATCTTCCTTTTCTGGTGTTTCCATTGTCATAGTACACTAGCTAGATGAATTATTGCATCTCCACTTATTCTTTGGAGATCTACCTCATTATAAAATTTGATTTTCAATCAAGATATTGTAATGTATTAAACGCATTTTTGAAATACTGTCATTTCCTCCTGTCAAATATTCCAGGCTACTTATTAGGTTTAGCATAATTTCTTATAAAACTAGTAGGATAGATGAAATCTAGAGTACAGCGACATACTTCCTCAAAACATCTGTATCTTCTCTTAAAAAGAAGATTATGACGTGAATTAAAAACCATTGTGTTGAGGAGGGATCATATTTCAATCCAAAACATAATGCAGCTCAGTTCAAACACTCACTTCTACCACAGGGCGTTAAGAAGTTATCGGTGATCGAGTAACTTTTGATTTTGCCTGTATAATTATCAAGCCATTCGCTTTTCTTGGGAACTAGAATTCATGCTTACATCCCGAAACATAAATATACGATTTGGTTGGAATTTCATCAAAATCGGAGAAGAATTGAAGAAATTACAGAACCATCAATTTTGCAAATGTGTTTCTAGAATTTCATCAAAATCGGAGAAGAATTGAAGAAATTACAGAACCATCAATTTTGCAAAATGTTTTTCTAGTTGTTTTTTTTGGTGAGTACGGAATGTACTGAAAGTTGCATAAAAGCGAGATTATGCAGAAATTCGCATGGTTTTATTATGTAAGTGAAGTTATAAATTTTGAAAAAAATCAATATCTCCGTTATTCTTGAATTTAAAGCAACCAAATTTGGTACACTTTGTGGATGTATTTAGGGCGTTACTTGACAGTAACTAGAGTTCAATTGAAATTTGTAATGGGGGTATACCGGGTGGCGCACCATTAAAATTCAACAGAATTTTGTTAACCCTTAATGGATTTTGAAAATCTTTGCTTCGTTGTGTGGGCAATTCAATTCTCAAACTTTTCTTACTCCAGTAATTTTTCGAAAAACCTCATCATTTTCATCAAAAACTCGAATAACTGAAAACGCGCGCTCTAGGTGTGTTATTTAAAATCATCGAAAATTCAAAAATTGGCTATGAAAATAAACGTACAACAAAAAAGTAGGTCATTAATTGTGATCAGTAGAAATTGGCTGGCAAATTATCATTTAGATACGTAACAAAATACGTAAAGTAAGTACAGATACTGAAATGTGAAAAACTGGGATTAACAACTAACCAAAATAAACACAAAAAACTTGAACAACAACCAGAACAAACAATTGTTTATCGATAAATTACTTAATTGAACAACTTACTTGCTTCATTGTCAAGTTTGACGCACGCGTTTTCAGTTATCAGAGTTTTTTTGATGAAAATGATGAGGTTTTTCGAGAAATTACTAGTCTAAGAAAAGTTTTAGAATTGAATTGCCCACAAAACAAAGCAGAGATTTTAAAAATCCATCTAGGGTTAACAAAATTCTGTTGAATATTAATGGTGCGCCACCCGGTATACCCCCTTTACAAATTTCAATTGAACTCTAGTTACTGTCAAGTAACGCCCTAAATACATCCACAAAGTGTACCAAATTTGGTTGCTTTAAGTTCAAGAATAACGAAGATATTGATTTTTTTCAAAATTTATAACTTCACTTTCAAAGCCTATAACTCCTTAGGGAAGCAACTTGGTATAGAGGTGAGTTGCGTTAAATTGCCATATTTTGGGACCCCCTACATGTGCCTGCTCTATGTCGGTGCTTGTGTGAATCACCCTGTATAATGCCACAAGTGATAATATTTTGCCGGAAATATTCGGTGATTGTTACGACAGCTTGTTGCCTAGTAATTCCGTGAATGACATTGTTATCAAAACTACGAGCCGTAGGCGAGTAGTTTTGGATGTCAATCGACGAATATTTCCAGGAAAAATAGTATCACGAGCAGAGCTGGGCCGGGTACTGATAAATTGTACTCGAGTACTGTGTACCGGGTACTGTTTATAATTGAAGAACGAGTACAGAGTACCGAGTACCCCACTCATTGGATGTACTCAGAGTAAAGTACTCCGAGTACAAGTACCCGAATTTCACGGGTACTAATTTCAAGTACATTTGAATAGAGAATTGAGAAATTTTGCATCAGTATTAGTTATTTATAACAATACTAATATCAACAACTTCAACAATTGTCTTTCACAAATTATAAAATTGACACATTCATTTCTTATTCATTACTAATACGTAAATTAAAGCAAAAATCAAACTACTTATTTGTCGTTGTTCACGTCTATACAATCTCTATATAAGAGAAATATTATTGCAAAATACTATACCCTTACCTCTTAGTTTAGTGTGGTTTAGTCTTAAGAAACATCAGAAACGATACGAAAAACACTTGACTCTATAACTGTTACACAGTGTAACAAAACAAAAACTCCGCGTTTAGTTCTGATTGAAGTGCTGACTGATAATGATATAACATAATATAACAGCGGTTTCCCGTGTTGCACTCGCATATGCACAGACAAGTTTATTCTTGCAAAAAGTACCCAGAAAATGTACTAGTTTAATAAACGCGGGTACCGGGTACTTTTCCCGAATTGCTACGGGTACGAGTACCGGGTACTTTATTGAAAATGTACTCGGGTACTGGGTACTGAGTACACAAAATGTACTCAGAGTACAATATTTGAGTACTTGTACTCGAGTACTGCCCAGCTCTGATCACGAGTTGTATTCGTATGACTATTTCATGATTGAATGAGACAATATATATATGAAATAGAAAACATAATTTAGGTATATTCCAACTCGAACTGCGAAGAAGAACATAATGATAGTTATGATATACAGAATTTACTTTTTTAGAAATTAACTACCTACTTATAGTTATTCACAATGTGGAATGTACAATTTTGATAAACAGTATTTTTTTTATTATCTTGGAGATAATTACTATCCAATTCAAACAAAATAAATTGAATTTATGTGACATGGAATAAAATATATCGTCGCCGAGGGCTCCAACCATCGACCTTCGTATCCTCGCGCAACAACCCTAACAGTTGCGCTACATCAGCTAGTAATATATCAATCAGTCACAATAACTTGAGTAATTGAAGAAGATTACTTCAAAAAGGAATTTGAATTCTATTATTGTTGTGTGAGACCGTCAACAAGTATGCAAACTTTTTAAATTACACATGAAACGTCCAGCCAGAATAAAATTGTCTCGCCTTTCGTACAAAATATCTCACTAACGCGAATTATAAGTAAATAAAATAAAGTAGGAACTTAGGTTATTATCTCAGATTCGAATACAAAGCAATCTTGACCAGACACAAAATTTTATCGCTGATAAACGAAGTTAGTTGGTCACGTGTGGGTCAATTCGGCTTCTGTATTGGTAGAGCAAGTCCGATAAAATTTAATAAACAAAAAATATCGCTAGAATACAGAATAAACCATGAAAATGGTCGATTCTGATTGGTTCTCGAGATCAAGAGTGGAAAAGTCGCTAGTAAAAACTGACGCCACCATTCCGTAAGTAGGGGTAGACCATAGCACAGTTGCCATGTGTTGAAATACGATTGGGAACTTCAGAAATATTAGTTATTCGATAATTCATAAATTCTCAATTGAGTATTGGTAATATTCCTAATTAGCAATAAAAATTCAATTGTCTCAAAATGTACTCTTATGATTTGTGGCTTATTGCTTATAATAAATTTGTCATCAATTCGCACTATTGGACATTTGAATCGGTGAACGTGACAACACGGTGCACGACTTGTGGGCGTGGTCTTGTCAGCTCTCAGCATTCAGCAATGTTGCCAAGTCTCCAACATTTACGTGATATTTTGTTATGGAGAATAAGAAATATTTGGACATGTTGGTTGCTCGAATAGGTCAAGAATGAACTATCATATCATGAGTTCCTCCTATTATAATTATATTATTCAACGACAGGGCTCTAAAATCTTCTTTATAACTTCATTATAATATTGCTGACTTGACAACCTTGCTTCATGAGTGGAAATTGCAGATTATATAACCAATAAAAGTTCATAATGTAGAATGGCCACCTGATTAAATATTCACTAAAACAATTGAATTTCAAAATTGTTCAGTAACTCATTCATTGAATTGTTCAAATTGATATCCATTTTCCCTAACACACAATAATAGACACAATTTCTCAGTACGTCTTAATACAGTAAGAGACACAACAATCTTGAAAGACTTCGTGCAATAACAGAGGCAGTTTTCCAGAAATTACAAAGACATCCTTTAATGTTTTTGAATGCATTAAGACGTAAAATGGACATCAGTTTGAACAATTCAATGAATAAGTTACTGAATAATTTCGAAACGGAATTGTTTCCGTAAATATTGAATCAGGTGCTTATTCTACATTATGAACTTTTTATTACTATTTATTTGTTGCTATCTGGTACCTAAGTTTTGTGTTTTGTTATTTAATTAGTGTTGATATTGTTTTTGTCCTCTTCATGGAAAAATAAAAAGAAATATTCCTTCAATTGGAACTTTTTTTTATATGAAAAGTCCATAGCCCACTATCAAAATTCACTGTTTTAGTGATTTTGGTGCATATTTGAAAATTTAATATTTATAAATTATATATCACTTTGAAGGGAAAAATAAGGAATACAATGAGCTTATAAAATATAGGGTGTTCCATTTAACAAAATTATAATCGTATATGCAAAACCATACAGCGAAAAATAAAAGAGTGCGCCGCTGGATTCTGCGCAAAATTCTCTATAGGATAAGATTTTTATTTGACATTTTCGCTGAGAAACTTCGTAGATATAGATGAAATCCAAAAAGTTCAAATTTTCAAAATTTAACGATCACAGAGTTATTGTCATTTTCCACGAGAATGAAGTTGAGCCGTATGAGAATGCTGCAAATCATACGAGTGGGAAATTAGCATTCCGTGCGAATTACATACTAAACTTTTTTTACGGCTGTGACAGAAAACAGCGAAATTACATATTTATTCGGTTTGTAGCCATCTGATTTTCATTTGTTATGCTCATCTATTAGACCTTCTATTGATGACATACAAAGTATACCTCATTGATTTATCGAACACAGTAAAACAAGAGCAATTTTGTGTTATCGCCGTAGAAAAAAAACTTTTTTTGATCAAACTTGAACGGCCTGTATACAATTTTTGCCTAAACAATAGTTTGTACTAATTTTTCCAGCAAACTGCTGTATTTTGTTGAGTTATTTACAAGCTGTGCCCTATTCCAATATTTTGTGTAATTTTTTCAGTTCCTGGAGGCCTTATATGATAATGAATCATCACAAACTGCAACAGATAAAGATTATGGCTGGTACCATTTTGAGTACCAAAATGTGTGATGCTGTCGACATATCCATGAAAATTGATTTGTTATTGGAATGAAAGGTCAAGATTTGAGTTATTATCTAAGTTGATTAATGAGCAGTCAAATAGAGCAATATCATTTTTCATTCCTTCTAGTCACAGGAATTGAGAACATGTAAAAAAAGTATAGTGCCAAATATGTAGATTAAAAATTGGTGAGAAATAAAAACAGTTAAAAGGTGAATAATGGAGGCAGATATAATAGGGTAGGTCATTTTTCATTCAAACTGTTGAGAAAAACTTGAAATCCTACTGGATTCTGTAATCTCAATACTTACATTATATTTTGAAGTGGTATGAAAAAATAATTACAGAAAACTTAATTTATGGAATCTGGAACTTTGAAGACAAAATTAATAATTTAGTGATTTTCAAAAAATATGAATAAATTAGATAGTGACATTAAAGTTCGTTCATCTGTATGAACAAACTAAAATTGAAATTTGGAATTGAAAGATATATTTTAGGATGTAAAATATGATTTTTTTAAATCAAGATTTGAAATAAAAGTTTATGATCCTTAAATTTCTTCAAACTACAAATCTGGTAAATAGCAAAAAACTTTGATATATAGGATTTCCAAAAGGAATTTGTATGGGAGTTGTGAATCTACATTGATAGGCCCTAATCATGCCCCTGTCTGCCCCTTAGCCCGTGAAAGAGACCTGCCTCTCCCACGTGATCACAAGTGGCAATGTTTCATCAGTCCTTTTTTATGTTTTGTAATTACAAATGTTTTTCGAAATTGAAAGACACGATGATGGTAGTGGTAGTATGAACGAAGTTGTCAAGGAGATATAGACGGAAATCGCATTTCTTTCTTGTGTACAGGATCCTCATGTATATTTTGGCATCATCTCTAGAGTTTTTTTATAACCTTCGCAGCTATTTTTTTGTTCTCAGTTCGTTCCAACCGTTAATTCGTCCACTTCATCGTCAACCACCAATTCGCAAAAATTTTCGTTTTATTCAGGTGTGTTTCATTCATTCATTATCAGAGTCGAAGAGTCCCCTTTTTCAAATTAATGTACAAAAATCTAGGCAACCCTGTATAAATAGAATATTATTTCAGCTACATTGGCGAACGTCACTACCCCGATCCAAACAAGACGTCAGAAAGTATGTGATCAGGTAACTTCGCCTTCAACTCCACACAGAATCGAACTGAGGAATGACAGTTCAGAAGAAAATATTGGCAGGAAAGCTGCTGCAGATCCCCTTCCACCTCTACACGTTCCCAAAGCGAGACGACGGTGAGTAGCAAACGGGTAACAGAAAACGAAAAAAAAACAAACAAAAGAAATTGAGGAATTCAAGGAATTGCCCAATACCTCGCGTAAGTACTGTCTGAAAATAAACCCCACAAAATCGAAAGCGCACATATTTTGTAGTGACCATAGACGGAGAGCTGGCTACATAAAAAAGTTTTTCCACCACTAGTTCTAATACTTACCATTATTCACTCCTTTTCGAGGCGTAAAGTCTGTTTTTACTACCAAGGTAGTTTTCGTCATTTTTTGAACCACTAGTCGCTAAAGACATAGCCTCTGTTGTAATTAACCCGAATGCACTGTTCTGATCAGAGATTCGCAGTAATGGCACTTGTCATATGCTGTCATCATATATGTATCAATGAACAATATGGATAATCTCTATCTGTTTCCATAGCGCAAAAGAAAGCCGTTTTTTGAAGACAAATGGCTATCCTTAAGCATACTGGTACTGGTACTGGTACTGGTGGGGGACGTTTCCACGTCAGCAACTAGTCCCCAATGGGACCTTTTTGCCAACCCCAAGTGTTTTCAATGACTGATGTGGTTCGCTCAAGAGAGCTGGCTAACATCCTTTTCAGGCACCGCCCATCAGCTCTCTTTTCAGAGTTTTTCAGCTGTGTTTTGTAGGCTAGTAATGTACTCACTACCATATGCGCAGTGGCAGGCCTGCTAACTATCATCGTTAACCCCCGAGACCGAGGTCTACTTAAGCAGCTGGCCCGCTCTCACGCTCAGCTGGTAGTTTTCCACACCCACCTACATACACGTACGCTAGTAATGTACTCACTACCATATGCGCAGTGGCAGGCCTGCTAACTATCATCGTTAACCCCCGAGACCGAGGTCTACTTAAGCAGCTGGCCCGCTCTCACGCTCAGCTGGTAGTTTTCCACACCCACCTACATACACCGTCCTACTTCTTCTCTGATGCTCACAACCACATCATCATATCTTTCTGCGTGTTCTGTGTAGGCTTTGTTACTAACTCCATGCGCCACTTTAGGAGCAGCACTGTTAATTGGAACGCAACAGCGAATCGTGCAGGACTATCCCCAGCCGATACTCCGAAACTTTACAATATTTAATTCGTAAATAAAATATTGAAAAAAGTTCCTTGCCCGTGCTGGAAATCGAACCCACGACCTTGCGGTCGTGAGACGGACGCTCTTCCACTGCGCCAATCCCGGCATCCTTAAGCATATCACATTAAGCATAAGGTGATATACTAGTGCTCATGCTCAAATTCGCAATTTCAAATGACAGACATATGTGACATCTAACCTATCTTGACATTTATGGATATTCATCACATATTTATGCACGAATATATAAAATACCTAATGATATCCTATTCCAGTTTTCTCTTTCAGTATACTATGATATATTTATGTCTACCGTATGGTTATCAGCTTAGTTATCATCAGATGGTATCGGCAGGTTACACTTAGCAGGTACACTTACCTAGGTGTTTACCCTGGTTTTGGTAGGATATTATGCAAAAATAATCAATTAATACTATACCTTCTAATTATGGTGCTTAAGAAAGGACGTCAAGCATTATCAACATGTAAACATTCCTTTTATTTCAACTACTACTGCAAAATAACCACATTTTCAAATGGGCTAGGATGATTATTGCATGTTGGATATGTAATGATCAAGTGTAATTTTCGAGTAGTTCAGACAGGGTTGTAATTAAGATGGAAAATATACTCTGAAAATTGATAATATCCATCAAGCCTCCACTACTAAACATGTCCGCGAAACGTAAACAAATGTTTATGGATAATAATTTGTTTCATAATTTTAGCTTCAACCTGGCACCCGTTGTTATTAATACGTATATGGCTGCCATGGTCATAGATAACAACTATCGTTATCCTAATATGTAACGACAATTCGAACAACTTGATGAAAAAATGCATTCTGTAAGATATGTCGTTGAAATAATTCTTCAAGAGACTTGTGCGAGCAAGGAATGATGGGGGTCTTACCTTTTAACGTGTGATCCCAAACACTTTCTTAGGCCATCAGAAAAATTTCTGCGGTCGTGGTGGGAATCGAACCCACCTACCGGCAATCCAACGTGGATAGAACATTGACTCTTTAACCACGAGGCTACGCTGGAATGTAAACTATACAGCAGGGTCTAGCGACAATAAATTTTGCTACATATTAGAGCAAACCAAAAAGAAAAACTGGAGAGCCGAAGGTGTATTTCTTTAAATGGAATGCAATGTACAATTTTCAAGAATTTTCGTGACCATCAATTATTCCTCGGATATTATAGACTATGTCTCAATCTCTCGAAAGTTATGTCCCAATTGCTGTTTCGACGTTTTGACCACCTTCGGCGAAATGTCCAAATAGCTATTTCGACGTCATGACCACTTTTGGAAACTTGTCAACTGGTGATTTTCAGCATAATAACCACTTTCGGCAAAGTGTCCACCGATCTGTCCCGATGTTTTGACCGAAAATTCTGCGACTTTTATGTAGGTACTCACAATTGATTGTAATAAATTTATGAAATCAAACAGAAACCATGCGATATTTTAACAGAAATTATGAATCAATAAGCAAAAAAAAACATATGAAGTCACATAATAAAGAAAATCATAATAATGTTGTCCATTTGAATACTAGTTTTTTTGTATGCCGCCGAAGAGATTATCCATCTGTGAATCTCAAGAACAGGTATTTTTGGGTGAATTGAGAAAAATATTGAAAATAAGTTCATTATTTCCATATTTGAGTAAAAAATCAGTATAAATAAAAGAAATTTTTCGATTATTTCAACAAAATCGTGATTTTTTACAACTCTTCCTAATTGACGGAATATTCCATTTGAAAAACTTGGACCCAAAAAGTTACGAATTGAAAAATAATTTTTATCAAATGGCATTATTATAAATTTCCCCAGTAGATTTTTGTAATATGCATCTGCAAATGAGATTATTTAGACAAAAAATTATATCTTCGAGGTGATTGAGATATAGTCAATAAAATTGGAGGAGTAGTTAAAGGTTACTATGCATTCCATTTAAAAAAATTGTCCTCGACTCTCAAAATTTCTTTCGGTGCAATTTGTATATACGGCAATAATTTCTCGTTATAGACCCAGTTGTCTAGTTTACTTTCGATTTTGAAACATGTTTCTAGATATCATTGGATTCGAACACTAAGACTCTGTTACACTATTGCCCCACCCTTTATAGTTAATTGCCCTAGAATAACAATTTTAGCCCTTTCCCCTCCTGGAAATTCTACTAGCGACTCTCATGTTTGGAGAATAAGGAATAGTTGAAATAATCGAATTATTGTAAAAATTCTCAATCAAAAAATTGATAATCCATCCAATCATGTCACATCCCATCGTCATAGTCAAATAGTATCATGAAAATCCAATACTTGTAAGAAAACAGTGTTTCTAATTATTTTTCAGGCTGAAAAACGTTCGAGCCCAGAACCAACCGACGTTAACGGAATACTTCCCTGTTAGAAGATCAGTAAGGCGATGTAAAAAGACTGTTTTAGAAGAGAAGCAACAACTATTAGAAGATGCAGTTAGATCTGGAAGAGAAGATGGACTACTGGTAATATTTAATGCGCTAAAATTCTGAAATTGAAAAAAGATCATGAGATCATAGTGTGAGTTCTGTACCTCTGAGCCTGTACTTCTACTATCATATAGTGTGATCAAAATATGTGATGACAATGACAAAATGTATGCATGTATGTACTAGGTGATTCAGTAAGGGTGACGAAGTACCTTATCTCAGAAACTGATATTTCATGAAAACACGCCCCCTAGCGAGAGCGGTAAGATCCAGAATGGCATGAATGGTTTTTTATTTTATTCACCAAACTTTCCTGTTTTCATTCAGACCTTGTTAGTAGAATTATAAGTTCCTGAAATTCAGTTCCTCGTCAACCTTATTGAATCACCCGGTACAATTGTATCCAATGGGTTGCGTGCAAGAACTGTCAGATGACCGACGCTGGAGGCACAACATTTATTTATTTATTTATTTATTTAGCAGCTTGGGGGGACACATACAGACAAGTCCAAAAATAGTGTCCACTAATTTGAGATACAGTGAATTAATAGTGTCTATGGAGATTATTACAAATATACATAAAGTAATAGTGAATGAAATTAAGTGATATTAAAATTAGAATAAGGTAAAATATTTTACATACAATAATATCTTAAAAAGTAACAAATCTATGAGTTTTAAACATCAATTATAATCCAAAGGGAGAAAAACAATAACTCAAAGTCGGTCGACCACAAAATTTAATAAAAGGAGTGACTATAGTTTCGGCTCAACGGCCATCTTCAGACACAATGTAAAAAAGTACCTAGAAAATTATAAGTTGTTAAATCTAGACAATATGGTGGCTGCGAAAGAACATACCTTATGGAGAAAAGTATACTAATTAAAAACTAACTAGTAGGTCAGCATCGAATCATCCGTCCAAATTGGAACTAGTAAAATTTAAAACGGCTGAAAAGCCAAAAGAACATTACGATGAGTAAGTTCAACATTAGAAAATTCAAAAAATTTTGATTAATTAATCAACTCAACGGAGCTTCATCAGCGGTCAGGCCATCAACAGGAAAGACAACGCCGTAGGTGAAATGGAAGTGATGATTTGACATTGACATCACAAAATGACAATTTCAAAGTCAGCGTAAAACATTTTGAATGACAGTCAAACATATGAAAGATGAGTTTCAAATTCAAAAATTGACATTATTGACGCTAAAAAGTTATACAATTCAATAAAACTATGTAAACAAAAACAATAATTGATGATAGAGATGTACGCGAAAAGGGTCAAGAAGAGCAAACAAAATTCAAGAAAGAAGAATAAATGATTATGATAAAGAAAGAGAAGCAGAAGAACCAACATTCTGTCAAGATAAAGGATACAGGACAGGCTCTAGCGCAGGGAAACCAATGTGTGATTATTATGAAAATTGTAATGTACGGAAAATATGATTACGGTCAAAGTTGGTCTGATCATTTAAACAAATACTCTGAGGATTATTGATGCATTTTTGAATTTCTAAAATCTCAAGAAGGTTAAGCCGTGGACCTTTGTTGCAAACATGTATAATATCCATATTAGAATTAACATTAAAACTATGGTTTGAATCAATGATATGGTTGGCAAAAGAAGATGTGGTATTGTGATTTTCTGAGTTCAGAAATTTGTGGATAAGTCTATTGTGTTCAGAGGCCCGAATCTCAAAACTCCTACCTGTCTGACCAATGTAGGATGCATTACAATCATTGCAATTGAGTCTGTAAACACCAGATTTCTTTACAAGCGGAATTTTATCTTTGGAGTTAAATAATAAATGTTTCAAATTAGAAGAAGTTTTGTAAGAAATAGAAATGTTAAGAGATTTGAACATTTTTGCTAGTTGAATGGAATAATGGCCAAAATAGTGTAATGATTTATATAAGGGAGGGTCAGCGACTTGACTGGATGTGACATTAAATGTTAATCTATGTTTAGTGTAAAATTTGAAATATAACTTCATGATCAAATCAAGTGGGAAATGGTTATTCAAGGCAATCTGTTTGATAATATTGATCTCTTTATCAAAGGCTGTTTGAGAAAGAGGTAATGAAAAAGTTCTGTGGAAAAAACAATTGAAGGATGAAGGATGAATTATAATGATGCTGTACCATAGTTAAAGATATGAAGATTTAATTAATTTTTTTAATGATAAGTAGTTTTTGGAAAATATGTCTATATCAATTTTTTGCATACATAAATTAAATTCTTTTTGAGATCGTATGAGAGGAGAATTTGTACCAATATTTGTCCTTTTACTTGGGTAATTGAAAAATTCCTTTCTCCGAAGGCTTCTTGGTGGAACATTAAATTGTAATTGTGACAGTAATTCTTGCGAGTCAGTTTGGTTTTTAATGATTTTGGTTAAAAATAATACATCACTGAGAGATCTTCTATCAGCCAGTCGGAGAATATTGAATTTTTTCCTGATGCCGTCGTAGTTGCTATCTTTTACAGGGGAATTAATTTTGTATCCCAAGAATCTTAAAAATTTGTTTTGGATTTTTTCCAGTCTGTTGATATATACTGCATATATCGGATTCCAGATGATAGAGCAAAAACTTAATTTACTGTGGATATATGCATTATATAATGAAATTAATGTTTTAGGATTTTTAAAATCTTTGCTGTTCCTTATGATAAATCCCATAATTTTGTTTGTTTCGTTTGCAATTTTATTTATGTGGGCTTTGAAATTGAGTTTATCGTCTATTATGATCCCCAAATCTTTTATCTCGCTAACCTACTGAATTGATTTCTGCTTGATTGTATATAAGTAATTTATTTTATTTTTATTATTATTCGTAAAGCTTATGTGATGGAATTTTTCCAGATTGAGAGAAAGTGCATTAGTATCACAGAACACAGAAAATTTATTCAAGTCTTCCTGGAGGGCTCTGCAGTCACTCTGATCCCTTATCCTGTGAAAAATTTTAAGGTCATCTGCATATACTACAAATTTTGAATTTTTGAAGCATTTGATTACGTCGTTTATATATATGATAAACAGTAAGGGACCCAAGTGGCTACCTTGAGGTACTCCAGAAGGGCACGAAAACGACCTAGATTCAAATCCATTTATTGTGACTTTTTGTTTACGATCTGTTATATATGACTGAATCCACTTGGATATATTTTCGCTTACCCCAACTTCAGTAAGTTTATTCATTAGGGTATGGTGATCTACTTTGTCAAACGCTTTACTGAAGTCGGTGTATATCGCATCAATCTGTGTTCCATTGTCCATATTCTCTCTTATATATTCAGAATAAACAGTTAAATTGGTTTCTATGGATCTTTTGGAAAAAAAACCATGTTGCTGTTTAATAATAACATTGTTTACTTCATATAATAAAAGATCATAAATTATTTTTTCTAGAAGTTTTCCGAATATAGATAACTTGCTGATGGGCCTATAGTTTTTGACATTTGATTTGTCTCCTGATTTGTGAATAGGGGCGACATGAGCTGTTTTCCACAATTTAGGAAATGTAGATGAGAGTGATAGATTGTAGATAATTGTAAGGGGCTTGCTCAGGTGCAATGCGCATTTTTTTATAAATGATGGAGGAATATTATCTGGCCCTGGACATTTAGTGACATCCAGTGTGTTGATTAAGTTAAGTACTTGGTTTTGGGTAACTTTTGTCACTTGTGTGAGATTCGTGAGAGTATTAGATAAGGTTGGTGTAAAAGTTTTTGGTTGAGTGTATACGGATTCAAAAAAATCTGCGAATAGATTACACATATCATTGCCATTGTTGGCGGAGGAGTTGTTGTAACTAACCTTGTTGGGGATGCATACAGTTGATTTTTTTTTGTTTGATAAAAAATTCCAAAACTTACTGTTATTGTTTGGTATTTCCGATTCAATCATATCTATGTATTCACAGTAATCCTGCCGCATCAAATCTTTTGCGCGTTTTCTCAAATCTTTAAAACGGTTATAGTCATGTTGGTTTTGGTATATCTTAAATTTTTTGTGGTAGTACTTTTTCTGTTTTATTGTTTTAATAGTTTCTCTTTTGAAATATGTAGGAAATCTGCTGTTAGATCTCTTGACCGGAACATTTTCATCAATAATTTTATTTAATTCCCTGTAGAAAACAGCAACTGCGTCATCAACCCTTAAGTTTTGAAATATTTTCTCCCAGTCGATATTGCTCAACAGTTCATGTATTTTATCGAAATTTGCCTTGTTGAAGTTTCTGACAGATTTGATTGATTTTTCTAATGGTTTCAGCCTATCATACACAAATGTGATATTCAGTGATGGGTGGTGCTGAGAGTCTTCTGGCACCAACGGATCATCGGAATGTTCAACAGATTTGATATAATTTTCGTTTGATAACACAAGATCTAATAGTTTGTTATTTTTATTATAAACTGCATTGAATTGCATGAGTTGAAGATAAGAAAAGGAGTCTATCAGTTCAACATGTTTCTGTTCAACATCCCGAGGCTCCAAGTATAATTCATTATTTTTGGGTATCCATTTTATATCAGACATATTGAAATCACCTAAAATAATAACAATATTGTTTTGGAATATGAGTTCATTTTGACCTAATTTATTGTAGAAATTGTTATATGAAGTAATGTCACCTGGGGGTAGGTAAACACACCCCAAATAGATTTTCTTTTCACAACCGTCTTCAACAGAAATCCATATGTCCTCCGCGTCAGACTGTAGCTCTGGATGGTGCATTGCCTGGAACTTCGAGTTAACCGCAATCAACACTCCGCCACCGTCGGACTTGAGAGATGATTTTTTATCGCGATCACGTCTAAATATTTGGTACTCACTGGTAAATAATTCACCACTCATAACACTTCCATTGAGCCATGTTTCGGTAAGTCCTACAATGTCATGGTTATTGCTACTGATGTTGTGGTAGAAATCATTGGTTTTTGATCGTAGGCCTCTAGTATTTTGGTATATGATTTTAAGTTCGTTTGGCGCCATTTCGAATTTTTAATTAAAAATATATATATTCCAAGA